GTCTAAACCAATTAGATTTTAGTATTTCACATGAAAGTATAATAAAAATTAATAATATCATGAAAAATCATACTCACTGAAAAAATTTTGAGAAATAATAATTTTTAAGATGCGAGGACAATTTATCACAAACCGCGATTTGTCGTGTAACATTTATGCATCACTTGGCTTTCATTACGTAAATTTCGGAACCGTAAAAATCAAATTCATAAACATGATTATGCTTAGTTTTCTTGACCAAATTGTTTGACCAAGCATAAGAAATCATAACAATCAGGAACAGTTTCTAAATTTTTGAACTTAGAAAATATGTTTTTATACATTTTCTGGTATATCATTATTATTAAATTAATTGGCAAGAAAATAAAGCAAGAAACAGAAAGAATTTTTTTTCTGACTTCAATGTTTCAACTATAAGAATAAATATTTACTTGATCTTCTAAAATATATTTCTAAGTATGCCACATTAGACATTTCTTTAAACGGAAGTTTCCACCAAGCTGTTTTTATATTGTGTCCTCCTATTGTAAAACTGCATGTGCTTTCACCAACACCGTCTTGTATTTGTCCATCCACTGCTTTATCTGCATGATGTCCAATACGATATGATGTGCTTTGGGATGAAATGCCTTTAATTGAATCGATCTGACTCAGGTTTCTATAAATTAAAAAAAAAAACACGTACATGATGACATTTTGTTGTTTGTCTCTACCATTTATCGTGCATTAGTCGTCGGTTGATCATCACATTTTAACACTTAAGATTCTCATAAACTGTTCAACTAGTTTTACCCAATTTAGATAGTTTTTATTAATTAGCGGATAAGAAAATATTAATTCCGTTCTATCTTCTACACTTAATCCCGGAAAACCTGATCAAACCTTTCATAATCATTTTTTTTTTACAGATTCGGATAATTTTCTCTGTCTCTCTGTACATATACTTATATGTTTATCTATATGAGTTGTGTCGAATTGATATAGTTATTAGAGTTTCAACGTAAATGTCTAAAGAAAAAAGTCATTTTTCACCCAAACAATCCTGTTTTAAAAACATGCAGTTGAAGTGTGTTTAAAAATTTCATTTGAAAAACTATATTTTTTTTTATTTGAATATATCACCTTTAGAAATTGAAAAAAGAAAATAAAGTAATATATTGTAAAAGCCTTACCTAAACATTCTGCTACAACAGTGAAGAACACAAGGAAAATTACTATAATAATAGTGTAATCCGTCATCCTCTCCATATACACTTGTTACTCGTGACACAGAATGCCAACTGTTTTAAATGTTACAAATAATAAAAAAGGCAAGTAAAATATGTCATTCAGCAACCTGTAATTATCTGAAATTTGAAACAAGGAAATCATTGGAACTTTTTTATAACAAATCAGTCTTACCTAAGGTGGACAGTCGGTATCGTGGATCGATAGTTTACCCACAATGCATATCCTTCCTTACACATGACAAATATTGCTTTTGAAACATATGGTAATCAGTGGTTATTGTATTCCAAAACTATGCAACTGTAAAAACTCCCTATTAGACAGTAATTTTCTTCAATCAGATGGCTCTATTCCTAAACGAATAAGGAAGTTCCAATTCAGATACTACATTATCCTTATAAGTACAAACTCTAAATCTAATATATACTTTGACAGTTTTCTTTAGTTTCAGTTGAAGTTTTCTTTACACAAAATCTTTAGCACCAGATTATCTATAAGGAAAAATAGTACTGTGATGATAAACAATAATGAGTACAGTGATGATAAACAATAATCTTAGGAGTTTCTATTTATTCAATTTATTACTGGTTACTCTGTAATTTTAAGTAGGAAATGTCTTTGTTAAACTTAAAAAATTGCGAGAAAATTGTTTGATTACAATAAAAACACTATTATCTTGAAACATTCCATTCTCGTTCATTTCAGTGTTTTTTATATCATTTAAAATTTAACTTTTCTTTTGCACATGAAATAAAAAAAACTGCTTGGGTTTATCATTCTATAACCAATTAGACTGATGTTGAAAATATACCCATAGGCAGGGTAGGGGAACAATAAATGAATTTCAACTAATCAGTAATATTCAGCAATAATCAGTAGTGCCCCTACCAAACATGAACCCCTGACCCTTAGACCTAGATCCACACATTGCACAATTTTTGAAAAGGTATCCTTGCTTTTCAAAAATATTTGATTAATAGCAGAGAGCAGATTTCAAACAATTAATACATTTTCAGACTATAATTACACCCCTCCCCTATGATACCCCTGACCCTGGGGCCTTGAAATTCACATTTCTGGACAATTACGGCCCTTGTTCATAGTTATATGGCAGTTCATCATCCGGAGCAGAGTAGAGAACTTTCAAAGATTTTATGTATTTTCACTATATAATCAATAGAAACACACCTTAACACCAGAAGCCCTGACCCTGGGGCCATACAATTCTCAATTTTGGTAGAGGCACTCTTGCTAATCATATAATGTAACTATGCACTTAACTAGTTTATTTAATACCTAAGAACAGAGAAGACGATTTTCAAAGAATTCATGTATTTTCACTATATTATCAATTTTATCAATATTATCCCCCCCGGTTATCGATTTTCTTCTCCATGTTTTTCAAGCTATAATCTCAAAATATTACTAACCGTGTGTTTCTAACATATTCTTTGACTCTTTTCCACAAAAAAAAAAAAAACTTTCCTCATAATTGTTGTTAATAGTCCTCCTGGCCTTGATATTGTAATCTTCGGACATTTCGCTTATTTATATTGCCATTTTGGTTTCAAAGATAATTCGGTCCAATATGCTTCGTTCAGATGTCAACTACGAGAGAACTTGATAGAGGAGAGAGTATTTTTTTTTAATCTTCCATCTTTTACAATTGAGGTAAGAATTTGGAAAAATTAATCAAGAATCGAGCGTACTTTTTGTGCGCAATAAATATACAGTTTTTTCAATGGGTGGCACTGTAGCTCTCCGGTCTATCAAATTATTTTTTCGGAGAGCTACAGATCTGCAGCTACCTTAACACCAGAACCCCTGACCCTGGGGCCATACAATTCTCAATTTTGGTAGAGGCTCTCTTGCTCATCATACTATGCACTTAGTGAGTTTATTTGATACCGAGGAGCAGAGAAGAAGATTTTCAAAGAATTCATGTATTCTCACTATATAATCAGAAGACCCCCCCCCCCTTAATACCAGAACCCCTGACCTTGAGGCCATAAAATTCACAATTTTGGTAGAGGCACTCTTGCACGTCATAAGTATACACTGAGTTAGTTTATTCAATACCTAGGACAAGAGACAAAATTCATGCATTTTCGCTATATCTTCAATGGAGCCCCGCCCTAACACCAGAAGCCCTGACACTTGAGCTATTAAATTCACAGTTTTGGTAGAGGCACTCTTGCTCATTATAACTATGCACTTAGTTAGTTTATTTAATACCTAAGAGTAGAGAAGAAGATTTTAAAAAAAAATTCATGTATTTTCACTATATAATCACCCCCCCCCCCCCCCTTCAAACCCAAGAACCCTGACCCTGGAGCCATAAAATTCACAATTTTGGTATAGGCACTCTTGCTCATCATACCTATGCACTTAGTGAGTTTATTCAATACCTAGGAGCAGAGAAGAAGATTTTCAAAAAATTCATGTATTTTCACCATATAATCAACCCCCATCCCTCAAACCCAGATCCCCTGACCCTGGAGCCATAAAATTCACAATTTTGGTAGAGGCATTCTTGTTCATCATAACTATGCATTTAGTTAGTTTATTTAATACATAAGAGCAGAGAAGAAGATTTTCAAAGAATTCATGTATTTTCAATATATAATCAATAGAGCCCATCTAGAGCTCTAGAGCTCATCATAACTATGCACTTAATTAGTCTATTTACAAAATTAATGTAATACCCAGGAACAGAGAAGAAGATTTTCGAAGAATTCATGTATTTTTACTTTATTATCAATAGAGCCCCGCCATAACACCAGAACCCCTGACCCTAGGGCTATAAAAGTCACAATTTTGGTTGAGGCGCTCATGCTCATTAAAACTATGTGCTTAGTCGGTTTATTTAATTCCCAGGAGCAGAGAAGATTTTTCAAGAAAAATTGAAATTTTCACTAATATTTATTTAGCCCCGCCCTAGCACTAGAACCTCTGACCCCAGGGCCATGAATTTCACAATTTTAATAGAAGACTTGATACTGATTACAATCATGCAAACAGTTTGACTGTCTGATGTCCAGGAGTAAAGAAGAAGATTTTTAAAGATTGCATCAGTTTTGGTGGTTTAGCCCCACCCGTCAGGCCCCAGGGGGACAGGGATAATGCAATTCACAATTTTTGTTCCACTTTACACATAGATGCTTTGTGCCAAATTTGGTTGAAATTGGTTAAGTGGTTGCAGAGAAGAAGCCGAAAATGTTCAAATGTTAACACACGACGCACAACGGACGACGGACGATGACGGACGAAAACGGATAGCAATAGGTCACCTGAGTTTACTCAGTTGACCTAATAAGAAAATTCAAGAAAACAAATAAAATATATTTTCATATCTTATTTAATATGGAAATACAGGTCATAGAAAACATTTGATTGTCGTTCATAACTTTTAATAAACACAGGTGATATCAAGCTAAAGTAACGCCATGATGAGTTCATCGAACTATTTGTGTCCAGAGAGTTCTTCATTGATGTAGAGGTGCATTTCTTGATAATGAGAACTGTCTGACTGGGGATTTATCTTTTGATAGGTTTGATTGACGATCGTTTCAGCTGCATGTATTTGATCATATATCTTTCCAGGCATAATTTCTGCTGTGAGCTTTCCTGTATCCTGGTTTCTCTGTTTAAATTTCTTGTATACAAGCTTTACTACTGCATATATAAGGGTTACAACAGCAAGTGTTGAAACAATGTATATAATTCCAGTTGAAGTATTTGAAATGCCATCATCTGTAACAAGAAACATGCATTATTCCATCATCATATGATATTACGCATTAACACAGAAATATGCAAAGTGAACAATAAGTGAAATTGAATTTTTAAAAGATTAGGAAATAAAAACTATAATTTCCTTTATCTCGACACTGAGAACCATTCGATTGATCCTGAGAACCTTTTGGACACAGTCCTGTTATGTTTTTACAGAAGGTCCCCGTGCTACATTTACCACAGCTGAATTCACAGGCCTCACCGAAAAATCCGTTTTTGCATACTATGAAATACAGCAATGAATATGAATACTGTTTGTTAGTTTGAATATAACAGTTTTGATAGCAGGACATAAATGACTTACATTTACATATTATAGATACAATTTTATATTAAATATTTTGTGTTTTTTAGACATTTTGTCATTAACAAAACTATATAATAAATTTATGACAATTTGTGTTTGTTTTATATAACGGCTTCAGTAAAAACTGTATTGTATTTGTATTTGACGAGATAAAAAACGAATGAACCTACATGTATCTTATAATTAACACATTAATTTTAATAAGCAATATATAAGTGCCTATAACATACAACTTATTTTCATAAATGGTGCCACATTCATTTATTAGTAAATATATGAGCTGTGATTACCTAAACACTTTGAGTTATTCCAATTACCCCGACATCCCTCTGGACAGACTCCACTCGTTTTGTTACAGAACGTACCGATTTTACAAAATCCACATTTCTTTGTACAGTCTGTTCCATAAAATCCATTTTTGCATTCTTCAAAATAAATTTGCTTTTTTTTAGAGAAACAAATACTTTAGACGTACTTTTTTTCCACGTGGTCATAATTCCGCGGAATCTCAATTTCTGTTTAATCCGTGAGTAGATAATTATGCGAATTTTCTAGATAGTCACTATATGCCTTACATTTATATTAATTACGCTTGGACAAATTTCCACGAAAAATTTGTGACCGCGTACATAGCGTAAATTAATACCGTGAGGTGAAAAGTACTTCTACAGTAATTCAAAGGAATGTTTTGATTACTTCAATTTAATTCCTGCTGTTTGTGACATAAAATGAATGAAATATAAAGATATCTGTGAGCGAATACTCACTAGTAACATGTATAACCAGGCTCTGTATTTGAATATTCACTCTCATGTGAATATACTCATACACAAATAAATTCAACCATATGGAATGCTTACACAAAAAGTATGCTAAAATTTTTACTGCAAAGTTAATTTGGAAAAGAACAAATACAGATAATCAGGGAGAAGCAGTAGATTTGCACAAACATTAATTCCCTCATATGACATGCCTAAACAAAGAATGTGTTTGAAGCATTTTATTCGGTAATGACGAATATTTGCCACCAAAACAAAACTTTTGACGCAGCAATATATTATTTTGCTATAAACAGGGAGATATCTGCTGTAGACTTCAAATCACTGACTATTTTTAATAGCAATGAAAACAAATGTTTTATATGACGTCAGAAAATGACGTAAATTTAAAAGTTCCACGATTTCAACAGAAAAAGGTGTATTCACGTCGAAATTTTGAGTGAAAGTCAACGAGCGTGGGGCTGCTACTGTTTGATATTTTGATATAATTCTTAGCATAATAATAGGTGATGTAATATGTAAATACTGTTCAGAGCAGGTCTGTGTTCTATACACTTCATAGTAAAAGTTTAGGAAAATTTGCTCATTTTTTCTTTATCTGAAAAAAATATAACAAAATCCGAATAGTTTGAGACGTCAGAAACAATATATAAAAATTCAATATTTGTTGTAAATACAGCAAATAGTGATCGATATAAAATAATCTATATAAAAAAATCAGAATTTTTAAAAACCATTCTCTATAACCAAAATTTCTCAATAATTGACGGAAATGTCATGTCATCGATTTTGATCAAATTTTATATTTATTACTTATTCAACACCCTTTCTTGAAATTTAGAAAAGAAAAAATTAATTGTTTGTGCCGTTAAACCGTTAATCGCTACACATGGCCCTCCTGAACGCCTCACACAACACTGTTTTTTGCATTTTTTTAAATCAAAAATAATTAAACAACCGAAAAAAATGGATATAAAATAAATATATCTGCCTAAGAACAAGATTGAAAACACCAAAAATGATCCAAGATATTTACATTTGTATTTCATCATTGTATCTGTATAATTTAATCACTAAAATCTCAATGTTTTGCTATCATTAAAATCTCAATGTTTTGCTAAATTGACAATTATTGAAAAATTTCATTCTTAATACATTTTTTTTAGCATAAATTAAAGAAAAATACAGAGATAGACTTTCATTCTCATTCAAGTATAATGTGAATTTGAACTTAAGGAAAAAAAAAATACTAAAAAATAAAAGTTGTGCTTTTTTTCTTAAATCCAAAATAATTGACTTTCAAAATCGTTGCCATGGCAACATCAGAAATATTTCAAGATAGATTAACTTGTGTTAATATATTTTTGGAACTTTTTTTTTTTTTTTTTTTTTTTTTTTTTTTTTTTTTGGAAAAGCTTAAATTTGGGTTATCTACATGTATTTTATATTAATCCAGAATTTTAATTTTTGAAATAAATTTCGCTAGTTGTCATAGCAACTATATGTGTCCATGTATTATGCTTTTTTGTAAAAAGAGACATAATTATGATCTTCATATTCGATTTTCATATAAAAAAATTTCATATAGCTCAAGATCAATTCATTTGATAATTTCATTAAAAAATCTTAATGTGTTAATGTGATCATTGGCAAATGCACAGTTGTCATGAAAACCTTTCAAACTTTCATTTAATATAATATGCTGTATAATGTTCTATGAGCGTGAGTTATAGTAATAATACTGGTCTTTTTAAGATCAGACAGAGGGTGATACATCGTAACATTGTAATTTAAACAAGACCCCATTTATTCATCATACGAGACAATATTGAGGAAAGGGATGTATCGTAGTTAATTCTAAAATATTTGAGTAGTTGCCAATGGAAATAGCCATGTTGAATTTTCCTTAGCAACAAGTCTTTCAACAGCTGTTTAGACAATGGACTAAAAAGCATATTTTTCATTTGACAGCGGAAAGACAAAATTAGATTGAAATGTTTTCAATAGTTTCTTCTTTAGTTAAGATGTTTTACGGGGTATGTTTATTATGTGTTTTATATGTTTTATGCCTCAGTAATCAAAGAATATGGGTATATACATGCCGTTTTTTGCCCTCTCAAGCATTTTGTTTGTTTGTCCACAAAAACGTTAACATTGTCCATAGCATTTATATTGTTGGGGTATGGCTTTCATATTCAACATAATTTATTTATTCCCACAAGATCTTTGATTGTGTGCCAAAATATTTGATATCTTGACGTTGGAGTATGACCCAGTTTCGGAGGAATTTACCCATTTTTACCTTGTCTACAACGCGTGAAATTTTGTGCTAGGTCTTTCATACATTACTGTGACAAGTCCTTTGCATGGATATATGAATTAATAGAATATATATTTTACCTTTTGACCTTCACCTTGGAATTTGACCCACTTTTACCTTGGGAAAAACTTTTGAGCAGTTACTATTAGGGCCTTTATGTTTCATAATTGTGTGTTTCTTGTAAGGCCTTCTCGTTTGTGCCTTTTATTTCACCTTACCACCTTGACCTTGGAGTCTGACCCACATTTAGCCACGACTGTGCCAGTGCTTTCATATTTCACAGGTACATTCATTGAGACAGGTCTTTTCTTTGAGTAGCAACACTTTTCATACAGCACTAACCTGAGCACATTGGCCAGAAAATAAAGCAGAAATCATTTCAGTGTTGAGAAGTTTACATGGGGGTTGGGGTCTCGAATTTCAAATTACCAACTACCTGATTATGTTTCTATAAAACAAATGCCTTTGCTGTTTTTGAGCAGATGATATTTTTTCTATTTATTCATTTGACCTCCCCCCAATTGTGGCCCAGCACTTGGAGCCCTCATTTGAACCTTTATGACTTTGTACTACCTGAGAATGCCTCCATATTAATATGATTAAACATAGCTTTTCTGTTCTTGGGAGAAAAAAAAATCCTCAATATTTCTAGGCAAAACTTTGATCCCCAATTTTGGCCCAGCCTACCCAGCCCCTACTTCCCATTCATGACTTGAACAACCTTGAATCAACACTACGTGAGGATGTTTACTTAAATATGTGACCGATCATTGCTTTGTGGTTATTAAAAAGAAGAGTTTAAAAGATTTCCAATGTATCAATTCCTGTGAAAAACTTAAATCGTCCATTGAGGTTACGCCCTATTCCTGGGGGTCATGATTTGAATAAACTTGAATCTACTGGTACACTACCTGACTACCTGAGGATGTTTTCACATCAGTTTCATCTTTCCTGGCCCAGTGGTTCTGGAGATTTTCAAATATTTTTCCTATATATTCCTATGTAAATCTTTGATCTTCAGTTGTAGTCCAACCCTACCCCTGGGGGTCATGATGTGAACAAAATTGAATTTACACTACATGAAGATGCTAACATATAAGTTTCATTTTTACTGGCCCAGTGGTTCTGGAGAAGAAGATTTTTAACATAAATATTCTATATATTCCTATGTTAAACTTTGATCAGCCATTGTGACCCTGCCGTACCCCCTGGGGTCATGTTTTGAACAAAATTCAATCTACAATATCCAAGGATGCTTCCACATAAGTTTCATCTTTCCTGGCCCAGTGGTTCTGAAAAAGAAGGTTAAAAAAATTCATATGTAAAACTGTGATCGTCCATTATGGCCCCGCCCTACCCCTGTGGGTCATAATTTGAACAAATTTCAAATCTACTCTACCTGAGGATGCTTCCAAATGAGTTTCATCTTTCCTGGCCCAATGGTTCTTGAAAAGAATATGTTTAAAAGATGCCATTAATATATCATTAATTCATAATTATTTCCCCTTGGAAGAGGGCTTGGCCCTTCATTTGAACAAACATGAATCCCCTTTACCCAAGGATATTTTGTGGCAAGTTTGATTGAAATTGGCCCAGTGGTGCTTGAGAAGAAGATGAAAATGTGAAACGTTTACGACAACGACAACAACGATAGACAATGTACACATTTTGATCAGAAAAGCTCAAATGAGTCTTTGGCTCAGGTGAGCTATAAAGATGTTGTTTTGAAAAAAAAGAACAAATCTGGTTTTGGAAAAATGATACATATGTTTTTATTCGGTTAAAACAATTTAATAAAAATTCAATGTTGAGAGATATTTTGACATCAAGCTGTTTACAAGGAGAGTGGCCCACTACTATAACTGAATGAACACTAAAAACAGGATTTTACCTCAGAATCTAAATTGTAAAATTCTACACAAATTTAGGAGAAGTCTACTACTTCACCCAACTTAACAATCACACAGAATACTGTACATGAACATCATACGGAAAATATAAAAGAACAATAGTGTGCAACCATCTTTGGTACACGTGTAGATGTTTTCCTCCCTTTTTATTTTTGTAGGCAGACTGTTTCACAATCTCACATGTTCCCTGTGATGCTTCACTTTTAATTTGAAAAAGACCAACTTTTGGAATACTAGGGAAAGAGATATAATTGAGAAAAGAAGTTATATTATGTTGATTTAAAAGCCGTGGTTTCAGTAGAGTTTTTTCTTCATTTTCTGTGCATGCATCTACAACCGCTCTAACTCTTTACTTGACCAGTTTTCAGAGATTGTTCTATAACCTGCAAAAAGAATAAAATATGCAAAAATTAAACCAAGTTATAAATTATTTGAAAATACATGTACCATTCCATGAAGCTGAAAGTATTATTATATAAATAAATGTAGTTATTATCCCCCCCCCATGCGCTTCAAAGGAGAGGGTGGTATATTGTTTTATCCTTGTGTGTCTGTCTGTCCATGTGTCTGTCAGTAGCAAATTTTTGGTGGCAGTTTTCTATCAACTTCTCATCTCAAATGCTTGAAATTTTTGCACATTCCTTACTGAGGCATGTCATCTGATGTCAACTTCCTGTTTGTGCATCTGTCCATATCATACAAAAGTATTTTTATAACAACTTTCTCAGCAACTACTTATTGCAGATTATTGAAACTTGAGCACATTCTTTGCTGAGGCATGCAATATAGCAGGATTAAATTCATTTTGTAATCTTACAATTTCCCTGCACTTACTGAATTTGTGTAATATTAACATAATACTAAGTGTATATTCACATCAGAACGAGGGTATTACTATTGTGCATTGGCTCACATACTTTTTTTTTAAACTCTTTTAAAATCAAATCTGTTATTCCTGTTTAAACTTCACCAATGCTGGCTAATACAGTGTAGTGCAAATTAAAATGAGGAAATATGCCTCATCATAATTTTGTTTTATAGATCTATAAGACAAAGAAAATGTTGAAATAAAATTGTATGTAATGTGGGTTAAAAAGTAATGACCTTGATAACCAAATGAAATTCTTAGTAGTAGCTTATATACATAAACAAGGCATGAAAATGATGTCTGTACTTTTAATTTGATAATCGTCCATGATATTATTTCAACTTGATCAGGATTGGATAAATATCCCCCAAAAAATATTTCATAACTATTTTGCTATTTATTTATATATATTTTTTAAATATGACTTTTTATGAAGATTTTAACCATGCAATATAGACCTTCATATTTTTCACTTATTAATAAACAGCAAATTTTAAACCATAAGTATTTTGTTTGAGAATAAAATTTTTGAAAAATCATTATCTTTGAAAAATGTCCAATAAATTGAATAAAATAATTAAGAGCTAATATTGGTCTCTCAAGGCTGACACTGGCATAGTTTAAAAGGGATGTCTTCAAAGATCTATTAAAATTCTGGTGTGACATTTCTCAAGCAATGGAGATCTAGTAGCTCTTTCATTGAATCAGCTGTTAGCTGTTAGATCATATCATGGCCTTGAATGAAGTAGCTCTTCATGTTTATAAAGGTGTGGCTGAGCCTATAATAAATAAGCACAATAAGCACCCCTTCTACTTTAATGACGAAAACATAGTGTTTACTATAACAACATTGTCTATCATGAAAAATTGTAAAATACACATAACACGTATAATGCTAAAATATTTGATCAAATAAATTAAGGCATTCGGTGTAAATAAATTCATTTTTGATTAATATATTTCAATAGACCAAGTATGTACCAGTAACCTGGTAATCATTGTTAGATGATGTCTTGTATATTTCATATTTTTCATTAAAGACATCATTATTCCAATTTATTTCCTGTTTACTTTTAAACTGTTTATTATTATTATGAAATTTCTAAATGACAAATTAAACTATGAATGATGCATAATGAATAATAAATTACAAACCTGATCATATTTCCTGTTTTGAATGTCAACTAAATTTTCTTCCTCTTCATATTGTTTGAGCATTCAACTTCATGAGACAGCCTGGTGCATAGAGCTAAAATTTCAAATTGAATTATGTATAATTGAGCAGATAATCAAAAGATATATCATTCATACAAATCTTGTTTTAATTTTTTAAAAAGTACTATAACTTGTTAATTTAAGCATCCCCTATCCCATTTTTTAAAAATCAAAATTTTAATTAACATTCGTTTAAACATTTGTTATGTTATTTAAACCTTAATAATAACATTTATTCAAAGAAAGAAATGAGCACTTTAAAATAATAAATATTCCATTACACATACTAGTATACACTGGCTGTAAAACATGTACAATACTCACAGGTTCCAGGAAGAACAAGTCCTCTAGTCTCTGTGTATTTTAAGTACAGTGACCATTGACTGGGATCAGTCTGTTTAATTTCTGCTTCTCATTGAATGAATTATGATTCACCAGATTTTTTCAAATAAGAAATGATACTTAACACCAAATCTCTTCTTCGTACATCACTCAGTCACTGTTTTGTTTCAACGGCAGAGAAAAATGTGTGGAACAAATTTGCATATTTTCAGAATTCGACCGCAAAATATCACATTCTGTTAGTGTTGTGTCCTTATTATTCATATCGATTGAATTCAAATTAATCACTTCTTCTGACAAGTGGAAATTGTAGTAAAAACGAATCAACAAACCAGTCTGAAAGTCTTCCGCTGGCATAAAAAACATTTCTTTTTTCACAGGAAACACAAAAGAGTTACACGAAGGGAAATAATTCTTGATCAAATTTAGCACTTTCCTCTTGAAAAACAGAAAATTTACAAGGCTTTTATTAAGGTCTTCACTTCTAATGATTCTGTTGGTAAAGATTATTAAGGTCTTTTGTCTCCAACGGAAGACCTTATTGTTTTCTTCGGTTTCTTTTTCCCTATTATTATTATCAAGGTCTTCCGTCTTCAGCAGACCTTCGTGTTATTCTTAGGTTTCTTTTCCACTAATTATTATTATTGTTTTTTTTTTCTCACCGATTTTGTGCACGCAAGTTCTAGGAAACGGCTTGTTTGATTTTCATGAAACTTACAGAAATGATAGAGAATGAACAAAACTAGATATATATTTTTTTTATTTTGATGGCGTCACTTCTGATTTTGATATTTCCGCGTTTAAGTGATTTTCAGAGGGTCACTTTGTCCCGCAGTTTTCTCAAAAAGCACTCAACATAGAAACCTGAAATTTTTAGTGAAGCTAAAGCACCCTTCGGAGAAGTGAATTTCGTATATTCTGCATACGGAGTATTATACAGATCAACATGATTTTTCACACAAATTAAGGTCACATTTTTGAAATAAAAATTACCATTTTTGAACCTCAGTACGATGACATAGCCCTACGTTATATTACATATATAATGTCAAGTTTAAATGTCCTTTGAAAGTATTATCTTAAGTTTCCAAATAGGCTGTTTTAGAGCATCATTTATAAATAAATGGTACGATGTTTCTACTATAGGTTTCTACCATAGTTTTTTTACAAATAATATAAAACGTGCTTTCTTTGATACAATGTAGTTGAAAATTTTTAATTTTCTACTTAAAAGTATTTTTTAAAATTCTTTGCTAATTTACCATACTCATCTGGGATTTGTCGAAATGTAGCACGTAAAAGGGATAACATTGCAGAGAGAAACCATACTACAGAGTAGGATAATGAAGTATTGTTTATTTTTTATATAGTAATTTTTTTTCTATTAAAAGGAAAATTCTTCTTTATTTACGGTTTGAAACGTTAAAATTTGGCTGTGTGATGAGTCTTTCATGATTCTAGATTTTTAGAAGGTGACTATGAAAAATGCCACCTTATTAACATACAAAGCAGTCAAACAGATAAGAAATACTATTGTCACCCTGCTAAATAATTGTTATTTTTCAGCCATGAATATATAAAAGATCTAGCAATTGATTTGTATGAATTATGTTTTAGTAAATGAAATAAAACTCAAGTAATGTAAACAAATACTTTTTAAATGTATTTTGATGTCTCAACACACACTATTACATTATAACAATGTGACCTTAATTTGTGCGAAAAACCATGTGAGCTTAAAAAGTTTGTTGAGCTGTATATCTCAGTTGATTCGAAACGCAAAAGGTACTTTTTGACATACTGGGGTAAATGCAATTGAAAATTACAGAAACAAGAGACCCAGGGGTCACATCGCTCACCTGAGCAGCTGGCTAGGTAATAGCAGAAATCAGGTCAGTAGTTAAACGTTTAAATACAAAATTAGGGTCAAGAGAAGGTGGGGGGATGCATTTGAACAAACCTTAGGGGCCGACTGTGGTTTTAATTGCGCAATATTTCGCGCATCATAGTAAAATGAAGCTTATTAACTTCGCTTAATTAATGAAATTAAACAAAATTAAGAAATAAGGGGTTTAAGAATGTAATTAAGATTTTATATTACTACTTTTTTAACCGATTTTGTAATTTATAGGTAGGATGACGTCTTTACAATGTGTTTTTGTCGTTATGATAAACTAAAACTCTCCGAGAAAGGGGTAAATTCGTTATTATTTATTTTTTTTTTTGTATTTTGAGATTCCCACTCCAGTAACAAGACGGTCGAATTTTATGTTTTGTGTTTCTTACACGTAATGTACAATATAGTACATGTAATACATATCAAATATTATAGTTTAAACAAAAAGTATATTGTACTATTTGTATAATGTGCTTTAAAGTTCTAAAAATCGTCATTTCCCTATATCATCCTATAGTAAATGTAACTGTATTTTAAGACTGTCCATTATAAATCCTGAGCAGTAGATTTCCCCCAAACATGGCATGTACACTGAAGTTAATGTAAGTTACATATGATTTTAAAATGAGGACGGTGACGTCTCCATATGGGTGCAAAATTCTCGAGAGGGACGTTAAACAATATAAAATCAATCATAAAATCTCCTTTTGGAAGAGGTTGTGGTCCTTCATTTGCACAAACTTGAATCACCTTCACCCAAGGATACGTTGTGACAAGATTAGTTGAAATTGTCCAAACGGTTCTTGGGAAGAAAATGAAATTGAAAGTTTAATTTACAACGACGACGGCAGCAACAACGGCAACAATGACAGACAACGGACAAGTTTTGATCAGATCAGGAAAGCTATTTGTCTCAGATGAGCTACAAAGGAATGACTCGACATTTACCGTCACACCTGATGCCATTCCACTCGTCCTCACAACCTTCCAGACAATTCCCAGTGATTCTGTCGCAAAACGTCCCATTCTCACAATTTCCACACGGATTTTCGCAATTTTTCCCATAAAATCCAACATTGCACCCTGTAGTTACATTTAATATTGTTTAGTACAGTTTAAGAGCACTAATTTATTTTCATTACAATCTGTCAATAACTAGAGCAAAAAATATGATTGCTTATTAATACAAAAATTAAATGTTTCGGAATTCATTTCATTGCTACATGTAATTTTTACACTTTCATCAAATGTGTGTATTTTGATTTAAATCAAGATTGACAATATTTCTTGGTTTATGTTTTTCTCATTGGAATACCATTGCATTTAAAACCGTCCCATTGGTGATCACATCCTTCATGACAAATCCCTGTTACATTATGACAGTTTGTTCCAGGTTTGCAATGTCCACAAGTCTCTGTGCAGTTTTCACCATAAAAACCATTTTTACACTCTATTAAATATAATATACACACAAATATAATGAATATTCAATATTATTGTTTTATGTGACACAAATCATTTATTTTGAATTGCAAAATTTAAGGAAATTGGTTATTAGTCGAATTTAGTTTTAAAATATTTATGTTCAGAAATCGTCATGATATGAATGAAATGAGAACCTCTTTTATCCATTATACTTCATAATCAAACACTTATTAGATGCATCAAGAAAAAGTTGGAATTATTAAAATGGGGGAAAAAAATTGTCCCGGCCAGTTGAAAACTGAACACGACCAGTACAGTGTAGATAGGCACACGCCATTTTCCATATTATTATCTACAATACCAGTTCCAGAGTACAGTAAAACTCGATTATAGCGAAGTCCTGTGAAATTAATTCGCTATATACGTAATTCGTTATATCCGTATAACCAATTCGTATAATCATATAAAGCGTATTCGCAATACACAAGTCATGTTTTCCTTCAAGTGCTACTACCAAATATATAAGGGAAGCAAATATTACAAAACTTACAATAACTTATGTTTTATTATTAATTGAATTTTATATACAAACGCAAAAAGAAATAAAGTCAGTTCAATTTAACAAATTTTGAGATCTTTGAAAATTCGTTATAAAAGATATTAATTTCCTTATATTCAAGCTCAGCGTGACTTAAAATAAGTTCGCTGTATCGGTAAATTTGTTATATCAGAGTTCGTTTTAACCGTAAAATTTTATAAAGATTTGTGAACAATTTGCCAGAAAAACTTCGCTATATCCGTTAATTCGCTATATATGTGTTCGCACCAAACGAGTTTTACGGTATAGTGCTCGCATTCGTAAAATATGTTGTTGTTGTTGTTTTTTTTTTTTTGCGCTGTTACGAGTCTTGGTGAGGAAAGGCGATCCGTGTTGGTCATCTTGCATTACCTTTCTTTAAATTTTATCGCAGTTATTACGTGTATTTGTGTTTGTCTGTATACTGCTCTAACCTTCGCGGGTATGTTAAGGAAGCATATTAGTCATTTGTCGGAAATTTAGACTTTTCAAAGAAAATTTGATTTGATGAATTACAAAAACCACTGATAAACGTATACTGTTATTAACTATTGCATACAGATGAAAGATTATCTAACGCGAAGACGTGCACCACCGCCACGGCATCACGTGACTTCTATTTATAGCGAAATTTTCCTTAACATAAAGGCTAACAGAACAACAATACCCCGGAGTTAAATAATTTATTTGAGTAAATAATATAGTTGAAAAACATCTATTTTGCCTAAAAAGTGCTGCTACAATCCCACTGTCCTGTCAGTAAAATGATTATTCGACACATTCGCACGAAACCTTATCATATGTTTTGAATTTTATACATATGAAGCGAGATTTTTCGTAAAATCATGCTAAACTCGGGATTCTAGCAGCGCTTTCCAAGTTTGTCAGAAGGCAGACTTTCCATCTGTACAAATTTTATGTTTTGAAATATCCATCTTATTGTTGTTCTGTTGCATTATTTTTATCACGAATGACAGAGGAAGGGCCGACCGGGATACGTATATAGATGACTGTCTTGGTAAAAGAATATAATCGATGAAAATAAATTAGCATACCTGTTTAATTAATTGAATTCCATATGAATTACACATAATATTGACGAGATTTCCTTTTAAACTCCATTTTACGTATCTTTGTACACGCCGTCCTAACCAAATTCTCTTTACACGACAAGCTCAATTCCCAAGTTACTTGATGTACACATATGACGTCATCGATGGTAGATTTTAATAAAAATGACAGATACAGCATAAAAAAATAAAAGAATTTTATTTTTGTAAATGTTTATACGTTTCTATTCATTTTCTAGAGTGAAATTACGTCTCTAAATACCAATATTACGAAAACTTGTATCTAAAATTGACGTCATATTGCCTACTATCACGTCATAATGTAGCACTGATTTAGTCAAGGTAGAATATTTTGTATGCTTCCTTATTACCTCTGTGTTGCAACTATTGTAAGTTTCTTTCTTTGCTTTCTTACTTTCGTACATAATAAGTACTACAGTTATTTGTCGCTACCGAGTGCTCCATAGCATACGTCCGACTAAACCGGTGTCAGCTGATTACAATGAACAGTGACTAAGCCCGGTCATTTATAATGGGGTCTCAGATATAGCGAGAGTCCGATCAAAAATGGCAGACACATTCTTTTACGAATCATGTTCAGCTAAAAGCATTAGCCGATGAAGTGATTTCGAATTATTTTTTTCTGTATTTTGATTGTTTTCGTTATTTTTTTTCTGTTTGAAACAGCATTTATTGAATCATATTCACATTACCAATGTTTTTTGCATATGAAATGAATGGAAATCTATTGTATTCGAAACACAATAACACTGACAGGGTGCCAAGAGGTTAAAGCAGGCGTTTAAGATTGACGTCATAATCGTTGAACGCCGAGGAAGTATCGGCACAAGCGAAAATAAAAAAAAAAATCACGCTCAAATTGACCAGAAGCTGTTACGTTGGCTGATCCATTTACTGCAGCTTACATGAAAGATAAAACATAGTTTTATTTAAATAGAAATCACATTTGCAGTTAAGGTAGAAAGTTTAAAAAAAATGTAAATATAAGCAATAAATCACTTTTTTTGACAGATATAGTCTCATAACCGCAACGGTGTGTTCAAACAAATATAGTAACGCTCTCAAAAAATAATGATTCATTGCTGAATTAAAATAATTTACCTTTACATTCAGAGCCGTACCAATGATCATCGCATCCTTTCATACAAATGCCTGTAAACCTATGGCAATTTGTTTGGAATTTACAATGACCGCAATTTTTTGTGCAGTTGTCACCATAAAATCCATTTTCACATACTATATGTATGAAAACAATTAATAAAACTGATATGAAAATTTATCTGACATGTCTCAAGAAATTATTTATGTTCTGGGATATTATGAATTAATAAAACTTTTTAAAGGAATTCATCTGACTAAGTTCTTATGACATTATATATGTTTTTAGATATCATAAAAATCAATATAATCAGGCTATTATATAATTATTAATGAATTATAAAAAGATCAAAACACATTAAATTACGAATACGTGTAATATGCGGTGAACATGTATAATACCATCACAGTTTGATCCATTCCAGTGATCCTGACATCCTTCTGGACAACTCCCTGTGATGTTGTGGCACACGGTTCCGAATTTACATTTACCACACGTTTTATCACAACTGTGTCCAAAAAATCCATCTTTACACACTACAGGATCATGATAATGATAGATGAATGAAATAAATGGAGATATCCAGAGGTAATCACACTAAAATTTCATCAAACAATACAAATATCTGTGCCCAGCAAATACGAGCTTTAAATAAATAAGAGCTTTAAGACATCAGAGGTCAGATCACGTGATATGTAGAAATGAGCTTTTAATGTCAATTGGTTCACATGTATGCTCCTTGCCATGTATAGATAATAAGAGAAACCCGTCGATAACTCAGTTTAAAAATAATGGCCCAAGAATTAATATGAAAAACGTTATTCAGCATTTCATTTAATGATAGATTGTATTTGCTGACGAGGTCTTTGCATCGACCATAGAACTTACAAAATGTCGACTTTTAAAATCGTCATTTTGCCGCTTAAAGACCGCTGAGATCTTTAATTCATCAGTTTCTTTGTTAGGATTTTTTTTAATAACTTCGATCATGTGTATCACATTAGTTGCGAGATATAAACCTAGATGCAGGTAATAAATGTATATTGTCGCATAAATCAGAGGAAGTTACGTAAATTGTTATTTTGTTTCTCACAAACTCACCATTTTACTACACATTCATATGTGAGTAAATATATTCAAGCATTTTCCGCAGCGAGGATAGTTTTCTAATTTCATTTCTTTTAAATAGAAATGTTTATCACTGCTTTTATATTCATATCCTTTTTTATCTCTTGAATCGCCATGAAATAAAAAAGCATTGCACACGACATTTGAACGCCTCGGTCAATATGAATGTCTGGTGAATAACAAACCATATTCAACACCAAAAGCGTCCATAATTGTATAATTTGTTATGATAAATATGAACTTTATAATCGAGTTTTTCTAAAATGAACATTTATCATGACATGACAGGAACTTTTGTTGCATAGAAAGTCTAACAGCATAATAAAGTGTATCACATAATAAGAAATGCAATCATCGGTTTGCACTTTTCTCATTTTAAACCTCAGGGGTGTAATGTTCATATCTTAAAATAGTCATTCAGATTTAATGTTTTTCCCACGTTTAGGAATTTGCTATACCAGCAGAATGTTATATGTTAAATACAAATTCAGTAATTGATGTTGACAGTTTCAGCCACGCCGATTTGTGTAATCATTTAGTTAGGTAGTTTAGAATTAAAGCGTTAAACCGATCAGACCTGTTTCTGTTATAAGTGTCTAGAACACGGACAGTACATTGGCGACGAGGATAACAATAATGGTAAATGCATTGCAGTTACCTGCACTTAATCGCTTTGATGTGACCAGACAAGCGTTTCCCAAAGGTGGGATAAGTGGAAGATAAGTGAATTTTACATAACGGCGACAGGGATTACGGATAAAGCACAAAAAGGGCTTTGTTTCTACATTCCGCGGGAAGTGAAGTCCAAGAAATATTTGATACCCTTGGGGAGTCTGGAGATGACTTGGACGGTGCCAAAAAGAAATTAGATGAGTACTTCCAACCAAAACGGAACTTAGCATTTGAGCGCCATTTGTTCAGGAATACGGCACAAGGTGAAACAGAAAAAATTGACAGTTTTGTGACTAGGCTGCGCAAACTGGCCGTAACCTGTGAATTTGAGAAGCCAGACGACAACATTCGCGATCAAATCGTTGAAAAGTGTAGATCGTCAAAATAAAGAAAAAGACTCCTAAAGGAAAAGGAATTAACTTTAAAAAGTGCAATGGATATAGCCCGAGCTGGCGAAATCGTAAACGAGCAAGCGGACAGATTCAAGGGCAGTGAAACATTTTCAAGCTCCGATGTAAACACTGTTAGGCCGTCGGTAAGTCACAGGAAACAATACGTATCTGAGAAAAGTTCGCAGAAAGATGCCACATGTTTTCGGTGCGGGCGGAAGGGCCACATTGCAAGGAACTGTACAATCACTAAGGACAAAACGTGTTACAAGTGCGGAAAAAAGGGTCATTTCGCAAAAGTATGTAAGACTAAATCGGATACCCCGCGCACTAAACCAGGTAAGGACCGCAGTACAAAGCATGTTCATTTAGTGCAGAACGAGTCCTCAGATGACGAGTTCGCATTTGCTGTCTACAAAAACGACACAAATGGAATGATAGACGTTAGCGTGGGCGGAGCTAAGATACAGGTGCTAATTGACTCTAGCGCTAGCTGCAATATCGTCAACCACCATGTATGGAGCGCCGTTAGAGCTAACGATGAAACAATGTCTCTATCGACAAGCACAAAAAGATTGTTTTCTTACGGATCAAAGGAACCTTTACAAATACTAGGAACGTTTCGGGCTGTCACCAAGCATGGACTGCGTGAAACATATGCAGAATTTGCTGTCGTTGAGGGCGATTATATTTCCTTACTAGAAAAAGACACAGCGGTAGAGCTAGGAGTTCTACGCATAGGAACCAATGAGCCGGACCTATGCTCCGTTAGAACTGAACTTGATAGGATTGTTGCTTCAAGAAATTCTGTTTTCGATGGAGTAGGGAGACTGGGAAATTTTCAACTGAAAATTCATGTCGACAAGACCGTGACCCCTGTAGCACAACCGTTACGACGTTTACCGTTTAATGTGAGGAAAAGCATGAACAAAAAGCTCGAGGAGCTGGAGAAGATGGACATAATTGAAAAGGTAAACAGCCCCACAGCTTGTGTGTCGCCACTTGTCGTTGTGCCCAAGAAAAACGGGGAAATTCGAATCTGTGTCGATATGAGACAGGTCAACACTGCTGTTCAACGTGAGCGATACCCGATCCCGACTGTGGATGAAATGCTAAAAGATATGAACGGCAGCACAGTGTTCTCAAAACACGATTTAGGTTGGGGATACCACCAAATAGAGCTCGACGAAGAATCAAGAGAGTTCACCACGTTTGTGACACATGAGGGCCTTTATCGCTATAAGCGCCTCATGTTCGGAATCTCCTCAGCATCTGAGATCTACCCAAGAGTAGCTGGACAAGTCATTCAAGGTATCAAAGGAGCAAAGAATTTGTCTGATGACATTATAGTCTACTGGACGGATCAGGCGGATCATAACAAGAAACTTACGAAGGTGCTCGACAGACTCGCTGAGAAAGTGCTTACTCTTAACAGAGAAAAATGCGAATTCCATCTCTCAAAAATTGTATTCTTTGGACATGTGATTTCATCAGAGGGGATTCGACCTGACCAGGAAAAGATCAAAGCAGTATCGGAGACCAGGACGCCGAGCAACAGTTCCGAAAAAAGGATCTTCTTGGGGCTAGCAAACTACTGCGGCCGTTTTATACCAAATTTCTCAACAATACTGCCCCGTTACGAGAGCTTACAAAGAAGAACACGCACTGGAGTTGGACGAAAAGACACCAGGATGCGTTTGACATGCTAAAAGGAGCGCTCGTAAGTGCCGAAGCACTAGCTTACTACAATCCAAAAGCCGATACAAGGATAATCGTGGATGCGAGTCCCCTTGGACTTGGGGCCATTCTAGCACAGAAACAACCGGAGGGTTGTTTAAACCAATTGCATATTCAAGTCGAACTCTGACCGACGTTGAGCAAAGACATTAGCAGACTGAGCGCGAGGCTCTAGGTGTCGTGTTTGGTTGTGAAAAGTTTTACTTGTATATATACTAGAATTCGAAATCTGGACGGATCAGAAGCTGTTGGCCTATATTTTCTCTCCAAAGTCGAAACCACCAGCTAAAATCAACGATGGATATTGCGACTTATGAATATAAGATTTTCTATAAACCTGGACCAAAGAAAGCTGCTGCTGATGCTCTATCCAGATCGAGTCAGAATCAGGCTTGCCGAATACACCACATTGCAGACGAGTATGCGCATTTCATTGCAGATAATGCTGTACCGAAAGCACTCACTATTAAAGAAGTTCGTCAGAAAACGTCGGAGGATCGAGAACTCGTCGAGATTATGAGGAGGATCAAAACAGGACATGGCCGTCTGGATCCTAAAATCCGTACTGTGGAATCGGAACTTTCAGTCGTCGACGGAATAATATTACGTGGATCGCGCATCTTACTGCCTAAATGCCTGAGGAGACAAACAATACAGTTGGCCCACGAAGGACACCAGGGTATTGTCCGCACGAAACAAAGATTAAGAGAAAAAGTATGGTGGCCAGGCATAGATACAGAAGCCGAGCGATTTGTTAGAACATGTCAACAATGCCAACTTTTGTCGAACAACACTAGGCCCGAACCAGTTCGAACAACGATATTACCCGACGGGCCATGGCAGGATCTGGCTATAGATCTTATGGGACCGTTTCCTTCTGGGGAATATCTACTAGTCGTTGTAGACTATTTCTCCCGATTTCAGGAAATAGCCATTATGAAAAAGATATAACCAGTGAGAAGATTATTATTCAGTTTGAGAGTATGTTCGCGCGGCACGGTTTGCCTTACAGAATGCGAAGCGACAACGGACCACAGTTTGTGTCAGAGGAGTTTAAGGGATACCTGAATTCAAATGGTATCAAACACATTCGGACTACACCATACTGGCCACAAGGAAATGGGGAGGTAGAGAGGCAAAACCGAACACTACTCAAAGCCATTAAAGCTGCGAACGCAGAAGGCAAGGATTGGAGACAAGAACTACCCAAGTTCTTACTTGCGTACCGTGCGACCCCACACTCTACCACCGGAAAAAGCCCTGCAGAGTTATTATATAATCGGAAAATTCATACCAATTTACCTGAGATCAGCAAAAGAATTGATCTCGAAGAATTAAGAGAAACGGACGCAAGACGGAAAGTGGATTTTAAAATAAGAGCGGATGAAAAGCGCCGCGCTGTACCGTGTGAAATTGAGATCGGTGACACTGTTGTACGACGTCAGGCTAAGCGCGTAAGTTGTCAACCGAGTTCGCGCCTGAGAAGTTAATCGTGAGGGAGAAATGCAGAAATGCAGCGACTCTCGAGGATGAAAATGGATCGTTGATTAAGCGAAACTGCACAGCTATAAAGAAATTCATGACATTGTAACGTATTATATACAAAACGGGTTTAGGCTTCTACTTAACTTCATGGAATATTATCAAAGCAATGTGTATTGAGGCAGAAGAAATCGGCATCTAGAAATATTGACGTTGTCCGACAACATAAAACTTAATAGAGAAATCACAGATAGGTTATGTTATGGTTCTTTTTTAAATAAAATGATAAAATATCATGTTGAAATTTAAACTTTTGTAGATTTTATCATTTCTATTTTGAAATCAATAACTTTCTAATTTAAGTATTACAGGTAAAAAAAATTCATTCCACGACCATTTTGATACCCACTCATAGATAGGCAGAAGTATCTGCTTACGAAGAACAAAAGGGTCATGGTTATGAAGATAAGCGTTGTGGCCAATAGACTACTTGTTATAAATTTGTATAAAGATCTTATCTACTAATAAATATAATTACAATAGCAATGCAAGGAATTGATGATTGGACAGTGTGCCGACCCATTATATATAGGGTAAATATAAGTTTCCATATCCGTATGACAACTAAATATGAATCTTTCAAAAATATATCAATCATCCCCCCAAAAAAAAAGTAAAAAAAAAAACTATGAAAATGAATTATTCTGGTCAGGTAATACGAGGGTTGTTCGAAAATTTCTGTCATATTTGACTTCTGTCATATCTTATTTATTTGACGCCATATGATATCCAAATTTGAAAGAAATGTCTTAACAATAAATTCAACTGATCTGCATTATTTTTTTCTAAATATCACGATTTATTCAAAACATCCAGACTTAAAAATGCAAAAATCGGGTCGCGGAGCAGGTCAAAATATAATTAATTACAAAGAATCCACTAAATAAACTCTGTAGTCATATTCTCTGTAAAATGTAGCAAAAACGAAAAAAAAACTAGAAATTTAAATAAAGAATTGTTACATCGATTCATATTCCAAATTCCTGGCTAAATATTTTGCTTCGTTGAAAAGAAATCACCTTGAGAAGATAGGTAGTCCTCATTGAAAAGGACAAAAAACGTTCAATGTGCTCCACGGGTTCAAAACATTGAAATTAAATAAAGTAAAGTGATATCTGTTAAATCGAATGAAATGAAACTTTACACACTAACAAAACAAATATTTCTACATATTATATTATGCTTATTTTAAATTTCTAGTAAGTAATATAACGAAGATTGACATCGTCCAATAACTTTTCGAACAACCGTCGTAGATTAACGCAAACGCAAATTTACTCTTTCCCGGATTACCCATACATTACATATACATATGATTAAAAATACATGTCTCTTACCCGAACAATAAGGTGTTTCAGTGACAGTTTCACTACATCCATAGATACAAGAACCATTAAAGGCATCACATTGCCTATCACGGCATTTCACATCACAGAGAGTGCAGTTATCTCCATAATGTTTAGATGGACAACCTGAAAAAAAAAATCCAGAAATATTACTTTTTCAGCAGCAGAGGTCCAATTAAAAAATTGAGATGGCGTACACCTATATTTTGTTTAAGCAAATAAAAATAATTTTAATCTCTATTTTTTTCCATCCATTGCAAAGAGATCTTACCCATCACATTTACTTCACAGACTTCAATGGTTGCAAAGTTCGGCTCAAAACCACGACATACTGTTCTGGACGTAGGTTCTTTAGGGTTATACAAGGCTATTCCTTGCGTCACCTTATTGATAGTTACATTTGTCACACGTTCAAGACACTTAGATGGATTGTGCGTGAACACTTTATGCTGAGATGGATTTGATGGAGGGATGTACGCTGAGTTGTTGAACACAAAAACAGAAAATCCCACATGTCGATTTACAGCTGAGAAGTATAAAATAATTATATATCCGACAGTAGAATTATTTGTCATACAAGATGCTATTAAATAAAAACATTCTTCCGACAATATTTTAAATCAAGTGATATATCCTTGCTTTATTTGTCATTCTATAAAAAAGAATATTTCATACAGATTTTTGGTAAAGTTATGTTGTTTAATATTTGTATAATTTTCACAGTTTTCACGCTGTATTTCTGGAAACTGCGATTTATTAAATTTCTAATGTTTGTCCAAAAACAAAAATGAAATCATAAAACAATTATCATTTATTGTAGATGATTAGGAATAATGTCAATGAGTTTTGCAAGGCAGAATAAACATATAAATGTAAGAAAGATCTAAGTCTTTCTACTTTATAACACAAAATTTTAATTTAACATTTTACATTATGTTTAACGGTAAATCATTACCATAATCTTTTTAACTTATACAGGAGAGGACATTTTAATAATGCTTTGAAGAGAGGGGAGCGGGGTTGTCTGAAGAGGTATTTTGTATCTTTTGTATGTTTTACATTCATGATCAATCTATAGAAATATCTTCGAATGCTACAAATTGTAGACAGGGAAAAGGGTATACAAACAGAAAACCACAGGTAAACTGGTGTAATCATCAAAAGAAATTCATAATTATATTGCTATTTATACATTTATCAACGGAACTTTATGATTTAATCTATTGAACTTCGCTGCCTTGTTTTCTTTTGTTTTTAATCAGTTTCATAATTTTATCAATACCTACATGTAAATCTAAAGTACATTTTTGTCAATAGTTGAATATAAAGATATGAAGTAAAACTCTTTAAAAATAATATGTATGTTAGCGATTAGAGAAAAGAGAATTTTTACTTGAGCTTCTAAAATATATTTCCAAGTAAGCGACATTAGACATTTGTTTAAACGGAAGTTTCCACCAAGCTTCCTCTTCACCATGATTTCCTACAGTAATGCTGCACGTTTCTTCACCACCAGCGTCTTCCAAAATTCCATCCACAGCCTTGTCTGCATTGTATCGAGAAGTAGAATAGTATGAACTGCTCTGTGAAGCAATTCCTCTAAATGTATCAAGTTGACTTAAGTTTTCTGTAAACAATAGAAAAATTGATTTTCGGTAAACAGTGTATGTGCATGTGAGACAAATTAGGATGAAAAAAAGAAGTTTTCCCCCACCTTTCTGAACAAAAGTACTTGATTTTTTTTTTATCATATACATGTAATCTACCTGTTTACCTGCTTTTCATTTAAAAATAGAAGCAAAAAAATATATAAATAAATAAATATATATATATAACTCGATATAAATCTGTAGAAATAGTAAAATCTGAAAAAACATACAAAAACAAAAAAACAAAAAAAAAAAAAAACAGGCAGCTTATTTCCAAGGCACTAAGGTGACAGCGCTATCATACTGACAAAAATTTCATAGATAACTTATTTTCAAGTAATTGAGTGACAAGGGTTTTCCTAAAAAAATAAGTACAACTAATATCAGTATATTTAAGTGTAATTCGGCTGGATGCCTTCATGTTTTATCAGAAATGGAGTTAAACAGCTTACGGTATTTTCTAAGCACACAAACAAAAAGACTAGTGGAATTCGAATCTGTTTTCTGAAGTAATTCTAAACTGTTAAACATATTTACTTTAACAAATTTATGAAACTCATATATCTGGTTTTAAAGTTTTAAATTGCAAAAAAATGACGAAAGAAAGAAAACAATTGTAAAGGATTTGGTAAAATATTTATCTACCTAGACCTTTCGTTGCAACTGAGAATAAAATCACAACCCACGTCAATAGCCTCATGATTGCCTCTGTATTTAATCAAGTTCTTCTGCTACCTATGTTTACACAATGCCGACTCTTGATTGCTTACGGATAAATTTAAAAATCTACAAAGAAGGAAGAAATGTTACGAAATGTGACGTACGAGAAAACCCCGGCCTATAAATTGCTATAGTTATTTCTCTGATAATTTTTTTATGCAGATATAGATTCAATTTTAAAACACATTACATATTTATGGGCGTCTTAGACACACCATGTTTGCTACTAAAATTAGTGAAGGTAGGATAATATTATAAATATATAGATAAAACAAGCTTAAATAAAAATGAGGAATCATTATTTCAGATGCTTACCAATTACTTAAACTTCTTTTTAAAATCTCTGGCCATTAATTCATTGCACTGCAAATAAAACAGAAATATTTGAACTGCTTTATTGCTTTTCTGTAATGTGTATAAGCATCAAATTCGTATTTCTACACTGCATTTTCTAAAGAAAACAAAAATATGGTAGCAAATGTTCCTTCTCCTAGCGCATGGCACTTTAAAGTAAAAGTTGCGGATCGTTTGAATTAAACCTCAATAACCGAGGCTTGTGTCATAGTAGGCGTTGGCACGATAAAGATCTGTCACTGTTAAATTGTTCTGTGTGCCGAGTGAGGTCAATATTAAAAGCTCTTCACAGGTATATGGTGACATCTCAGTATGAGTGAAAACTTCTCGAACAGGACGTAGATGCCTTAATTTCACCTTGAATTACAAATGCATGTTAAATGGAACTGTACAGTTTCCTCATTCACATAATGCGTAAAATATAGAAGACAAATCATCATCAAACCGGACATGGAATTAACCAGTAAGAAGAATATGTTAAAAAAATTGAAAGGAAATGTTTATGTAAAATTGAATTCTGGCTAATCGGAACAACTTCCTCAAATATAATATTGAATGTACTTTCAAAAAATATTTGACTATTACATGAAATATTTTTTTGCAAATTTTGTTTAGATTATGTAATAAGAAATATTCCTTTTCTTTAATGTTGCTTTCGGTGGGGAACAAAGAATAATCAAGTTTCTTACACATAGACAATGGTGTAAAATGAGATATAGGCTGCTATAAACTTAAGTTAGTGCCGTCAGCAATGTTGCTCAATGTTCTAGATGAAGATTTCGGCAATCTACTTATAAATGTTCAAATGTGAATTATTGGTATATTCAAGTGCAATATAACTTGTTGATTAATTAAGTGATAAATTGTTGTCCACTGCAATATTTTACCCTTCTATAAGGTGCTAAATATAGTGAATATTTTTAAATTCAGACATAAACTAGTAATTGGCATCCAGGCCATTTAGCAGTGAAAGGTTCTTTGTTTTGCAAACGGAAATTATTACACTAATCCTACATTTTTTTATCGAGGTTCGCCCATCAGCTTTTCAGCAGATTTTTATCTTAACCTCTGTTAAAAAATTTTTCCATAATTTTGTTAGTTCTTACAATAACTTTGAATTCTATAATGCTAATTTTACTATATTCAGATTAAATTCCATACTTAAAATCATTTGATGAGGAAATATATTTTAAGGCGGAAGGATTTTTAAAAGAACAAGATCAAAGAACTATATGCGGTATATTGCATATACTTGCCCCCACAAAAGTTACATTTTGAAAACTTCATGAAATGTGCTGAATTCAATAAATTGTATGAGAAATATAAATTAACAGAACATATTATAGTTTCAAAGCAGTTTATTCACAATTTTTGTTTTTATGACGTCACAAACTTGTCCAATTTTAGAATTTTTTTCAGAAAGAGGACAAAATGGACAAAATTTCAACAATTTAAGCTTTTAAATATATAGAGCGCATGTTTGTTCAGGATTAATATTTACATATTTCATTGATATTATCATTCTACACATTATATCAAAATATTGATCCTGAACACACATGCACTCGGTGACTCTTGCTCAAAATATCGACAAAATATATACATTTTTCTGTAGAATTCATTAAAAACTTAAATTTACGTCATGTTTGTGACGTCATTACGTACATATGACGTCATTACTTATGAAAATATTCAGTGCTTTGAAGTCAGCATATACTCCCCTGTTTAAGAACTTAATTAAATATACCTCCATCAAAGTTTGATTTGGGGGGGGGGCAAATATTGGTTATTACCGAATAAAGTTCTTTTCTTTTTTCAAGCATTTTAAAGTTTGGATCGCTATTTTTTACATGATGTGGCCTGCACAAGGAATAGTTTTGTGCACTGTAATGTTCTATACTGGGCCTAAAATATTTATTTAATTAACTTTTATTAATTCTACCATCATATTTGTTTAAAATATCAAATATATCGTGAAAATCCTTGGAAAAAAAAAACAAAAACAAATTTAAGCTTACAGGGGGCGACTGGGATTTACATTGTGCAATATTTCTCAAATCATAGTAAATTTAAGTGCATTAACTTTTTTCACCTAGTTGATATAACTAAACATCACTAGGAAATAAGAATAAAAAGGAATATTAAAATTTTCAATAAATGGCTTTTTAAAGAATTTTTTAAATTGATAGGTAGATTGAAGACGTATTCGTGTGTTTGCAGCTCACCTGAGCCGAAGGCTCATGTGAGCTTTTCTGATCACATTTTGTTCGTCTGTCTCTTTGTAAACTTTTCATATTTTCGACTTCTCCTTGAGAAACACTTGGCCAATTTTAACCAAACGTGTTACAAAGCATCCTTAAATTGGCTGACAGTAAATTTTAGTTGTTAAAATGGATGGACTGGTCCTGTCATAAAGAGAGGTAATTAAGAAAAGACAAAAATTTGGTGCAGTTATTGAAAAAACCTCTCAGGAACCACTGGACCAGAAAAGTTGAAACTTATGTGGAAGCATCCTGAGGTAGTGTAGATTCTAAATTGTTCAAATTATGATCCCCGTGGGTTAGGCGGGGCCACAATAGGGAATTTGAATTGTCCAAATTAAGACCCTTGGCGTACGATGGGGTCACAATTGGAGGGGGGGGGGGATCTGGTTGAGAATTGCATGGTCCAAGCTTCTCAATCCCATAGTAAATGTAGCTGTATTTTGAGACGGTCCTTAAAAATACCTGGTCGGCTGATTTTCCTCAAAATTGGCATGTAAACTGAAGTCAATATAAGTTATATGGAATAAAAAGAAAGACTTATTGTATTGTAGTTTTCATACAATAAAACCCCAGTCGCCCACTTAAAGTTAGCATCATTTAACTAATATTTAAAAATCAAAATCACAGACTCCCACTTTTTATTTCATTTTCTGAAGAAATAAGGTAGTTTTAACCACTTTGCTTTTATTCAGAAAAATGGCATTACTTTGAAATGAATTAATTACGTTTGAAATATTTAACACTAGAATCATTACTTTTTTGAGCGTAGGAAGGTCAAATTATTTACTTTGCGAAGTAATTTGAAACTGTTGTTGTAACAAATTTAAATGTAATTATTCAAGAAGAAAGAAGATTGTTCTAATTAATAACTCTTTTGTTAATTATGAATTACAGTGCAAATGGTCATATTTATAGCTCCGTAGTGCTACATGTAACAGAAGCGCACTAAGCTCAAGTGCTTGTTATCATTTTTATAAAGCGATGTGTATAGATTCTAAAAATATACCTGACAAATAATTCACAATACAAGTGATAGCAGGAGCCAACCTCCTTAAGGTGATTTCATTTCTATTGCCAGGTATTTAGACAAGGAACAGTCCCTACCTCTGTTAAGCTATTAACTTTAAAGGCAGCGTCGAGATCGAGGATTAAACTCGAATCCAATAATAAATAAGAACCCTAACCACTGGGTTACCATTAGCACAACACATTAAATAATGTATATGTAAACAAGAAAATAGACTGATGTTTTTGTAAATCATTTCATAAAAAATATGAACAAGTATCGTGTTCGAAAAGAAAACCAATGAGGTACATGTAAAGACAGATTACAAATGAAAAACCGTTTTATGTAGCATATCCGTACAAGTATGAGTATCTTTATGCGCAATTATATATGAAAGGCATCTAAATCCCTTTTTATACTATTATGTAAATTTTCATCTGTTCAGTTTGGTTTAAAGCAATCTAGTTTATCAAGGAATTTAAGCATTAAGTTACTGTATGAAAAAAAAATAGTAAAAGGTCAATTGGCCACATTGCTCAGCAAAGAATATTGGCCAGGAAAAACAGAAATCAGCTCAGTTTTGAAAAGCTTACGCGGTGAGGTGGGGGGCTAAGTTTACACTTTGTCAGGATGCTACCATATCAATATTACTAATTATTATGCTTCCTCTAAGTTTGTCTCTATATAATCAATACCCCTTTATTTTCGCACAGTGTTCTAAGGATTTATACGGAGTAAGTATACTATGCCGAAATAGTGCACGGCTTCAATTTCTGAAGAAAATCCCACAGCGCCCACGCCGGCGATCGAACTCACGACTTCGAAATTGTCAGTCCGACGCACTACCGATTACGCCACAAAGACCGTTATCTATAGCTTTGTACTATAATATCTATAAATATAAACTTAGTTACAAATAGTTTAAACTTAATGAAGGAAAATAAACAAGAACAATTCAAAAAAAATTCTAAAATAGTTTCTAGCAATTTTCCCCTTTCACTCAACTATATTTTCAAAATCTATCCCTCCTTCTATACCTAAAGCATGAAGCATACAAAAATATAGAATAAAAAGATTATGACGCATATGTAGCACAAGGTGACGTCATATTAGGGTGTACTAAAACTAATGCAAGAGGTGATGCAATATTGAACATGGAGAAAATAACTTCGATTTTATACAACAGTCAGCATAATAATGACAATAGTGTCCTACTTTGCATGCGCTATACCTAAAGAGTAGTCAGGGTTTGAAACAAAGTGCACTCACCTCCGGGTCAAGTACCATGTGTCAAAAACTGACTACTATTTAGACACAGTGCATGCAAACTACAACACTGTTATATAATCATGGTTATGTTGTGCATAAGGTTCCTTGGTAAAAGATATTTTCCCAACGTAAAACTCCGATAGCTCATTGTGACTCCATCTT